AAAAATAAAAAGGAAATAGGTATAAATCTAACAAAATGTACACAGAATATATGTGAGGAAAACTACAAAACTGACTGAAGAAATAAAAGAAGATCTAAATAAATGGAGAGATAGTTCATGTTCATGGATAGGAAGAGTAAATGTTGTTAGGATGTCACAACTATAGATTCAAAGCAATTCCAGTCAAAAATACTAGCAAGTTACTTTGTGGATATTGATAAATTCTCAACTTCGTAAGGAAAGGCAAAAGGCCCAGAGGAGTCAACATAATATTGAAGAAGAACAAAGTCAGAGGACTGACACGATCCAACATAAAGACTTAATATAACACTAACACTACAGTATTCAAGACAGTGTAGTAGGAATAGACAAATAGATCATTTGAACAGAATGGTAAGCCCAGAAATAGAAGTCCACAAATATAGTCAACTGATCTTTGACAAAGTTGCCAAGGCAACACTTTTCAACTAATAGTGCTGGAACAACTAGATGTCCACATAAAAACAAAAGCAAAACCAAAAAACAAGGATCTAGACAAAGACCTTATACTTTTTCAAAAAAATTAACTCAAAATGGATTATAGGCCTAAATTTAAAATGTATAACCGAAACTTCTTTAAGATAGCATAAGAGGAAAATCTCATTGACCTTGGATTTGGCAATGACTTTTTTTACATACAACATCAAAAGCCTGATTCATGAATGGAAAAATTGATACGTTGGATTTCATTAAAATTAAAAACTTCTGCTCTGTGAAAGACATGTTAAGAGAATAAAAGACATGCGACAGCCTGAGAGAAAACATTTGTGAAATGCATATCTGATAAGGGACCTGTATGCAAAATATAGAAAAAACTCTTAAAAGTTAACAGTAAGGAAACAAACAATCCATTTAAAAAGTGGGCAACAGATCTGAACAGACAATACATCAAAGACCTACAGATGGCACAGAAGCATAAGAAAATATGCTTATCATCATCATATGTCATTAGAGAGAATTGCAAATTAAAACAACAACATATCATTACACACCTGTATGAATGGCTAAAATCTAAAACACTGACAATACCAGATGTTAGCAAAGATGTAGAATAGTGGGAGTTCTCATTCATTGTTGGTGGTAATACAGAATGAGAATGGTACAGCCAACTTTGGAACACAACTTGGCAGTTTTTTACAAAGCTAAACATATTCTTACCATTATGATCCAGTGATCATGCTCCTTGGTATTTACCAAAATGAGTGGAAAACTTAATGCCTACACAAGAACCTGCGCATGAATGCTTTATAGCAGCTTTATTCATAGTTGCCCAAAGTAGAAGCAACTGATATGTCCTCAAAAGGTAAATGAATAAACAAACTGTGGTACATCCATACAATGAAATATTATTCATCAATAAAAAGAAAAGAGCTATTAAGCCACAAAAAGACAGAGGAACCTTTAAGTGCATCCTGATAAGTGAAAGAAGCCAGTCTGAAAAGTCTAAATACCGTATGATTCCAACTATATGACATTCTGGAAAAGGCAAAACGATAGAGACAGTAAAAAAGAACAGTGGTTGCCAGGTGTTGGGGGTAGAAGACCAGGGATGAATAGGTGGAAAACGGGGGAATTTGGGAGCAGTGGAACTATTTTATATGGTACTATAATGATGGATACATGATATTATGCATATCTCAAAACTCATACAACTGTACAACTCTGTGTCTGTGTTCACACAGAGTGACCCTAATGTAAACTATGAACTTTAAGTGTACAATATCAATTAATCAATTGTAACAAATGTACCACACTAATGCAAGATGTTAATAATAATAAAGAAAACTGGGCCAGGGTGGTATATGGGAACTCTGTACATTCTGTTTAATTTTTCTGTAAACCTAAAACTTCTCTAAGAAATAAAGTTTATTAATTGAAACAAAATATTCTAGTAACATCAAACATAGTTCTGTAATAAAGTAAAGTAGCTTATCTTATATCTGCACCCAACCTACTAGGAAATATGGAAACACCAGAAGCATAGGAACCACAATATAACATTTCCAACTGTCACTATATTATCTAACATTATTCAAAAAGTTTTAGCTAGTGTAGTGGTATATGACATAGAAATGATCATATAAGGAAAGAAAAGCATTATTATTTAGAGAAAATTTAAATAAACCCCCCAAAACTTATAAAACCCAAAGAGTTAATTCTGTATTTTTCAATTTCTGAGGTAGAGTAATATAATGGCAAGACGTAAAATAGACATTTTTAAAAATCCATTTTTCTGATATACATATAATATACAAGTAATAAAATATAATAGAAAAATATCCCACTCTAGCTAGAAACAAAACGTAATAATTAAGGATAAACTTAATGGGAATTGGATGGGACACATACAAAGAAAACTTCAAAAATTCATTAAGAGTCCTAGAAACAGACTTAAGTAAAAAGTCAAATTATTTTCTAACTAGAAGACTATTTTTAAAATTAATGTATTTATTAGAGTTAACACAGTCCCATTCAAAAATCCCATTACCCATGTAAATCAGGTGTGGGATTTAATTATCATAAGGATAACTTATAAAAACAAGCAGGCAAAATAGCTTAATATTTTTAAACTGCCATAAAAGGAAGATTAGGGCTGATAGATTTTAAAAGAAATAATATAGAATAATTACATGGAAATAGATGTTTTAACCTTAAATGTGATGGAAAAAGTCTTCAAGGACTAACAGATTTAACTATATACAAATTTTAAATTTCTCTCATCCCAATTTTTTTATGCTCAAAGATTTAAGGAACTACAGCAAATGTTAAGTGGTTATTTTGGATCATTTTTACTTTATGAGTTTCCAGGTATTCTACAGTGATCATACTTAGGGGGGGAAAGTTTATTTTTAACAATATATAAAAAAAATTAAATGACAAACTACATACTAGGCAGATGTTAATGGTAAAATAGGATGCCTATAAGTTCATGACCACAACACATAAAAAACTCATATAAATCTTTTAAATGATTCTCAAAATACATAGGCAGAGGACATGATCAAGAAACACACAGAATATCACAGATAGCTGATAAACAAATAACAAAAACAATATTCAACCTTACTAATAGTCAAATATATACACATTTTAAGATAAGAGATTGTCCATCAAATTAATGAAGAATTTAAAAAATAATATTCTGTGTTGGCATGGATTCAATGAAATAGATTTTACTTTTATATATTGCTTGCAGAATGTTAATTATTGAACATTTCAGGAAATTTACTTGACTTCATGACCAAATAATGGTACATTTCAGACTCTGTTCTAAGGGAGGACATGCAGAATACACGCATACTTCTGCACAGACATGTGTCTCTCAGTGTGTTTATAATAGCGTAGAAACACATTCTGAGGAGAATTCACGAATTTTAAAATATTATACATAATGTTTAATAAGCCATAACTGAAAAGCACCAGGGACCTCCTAATGCCTTTAGTGGCTGTACTGTTGAGCAGAGACGACATAGGTGATGTCTGCATACCAGCCTTGCAGTCATTCCAGTGTTTATCTCAGCGATTTGACAATATCCCCTGATGTTACAGACCTTATCATCCACTGATAAGGAGTCTAACATGCATATGATAAATCCAGTAAAGTAAAATTGTACTGTAAAGAAGATAAACAATATAAATGTCTGGTATTAAGAGTAGGACTAATTTATGGTACTGCAGAATATGAGATAAATGGAACTTTATGTAGCTGTTGGACAATTTGTTAGGAGGTATTTATAATAACATGGTAAAATGTCTATATTCAGAATAGAATCGTAAGTGTAAAACAGGGAGATATAAAGTTATTTGTAAGTGTGCTCCCACAACAGAACTAGAAGGAAATATACAAGAATATTTACAGTGTCGCCTCTGAATGGTAGAATTATGGATAATACACTTAATCTTGTTTTTTCATACTTTCAAATAATTAAAATGAACATTACTGACTGTAACAATTCAGAAAACAGTTTAACATAACCAACCATAGCACACTTTGCTTTCCATTACTACATTTTTTAAAGGTGAGGTATTCACAAAATTGTTATGGAGTAAAATCTCACAGATAATTTTAACTATCTTGTTATTTTCTGAATCTAAGAAAACACGTTCTTTCTACTATCTTTCCAGAAAGGTCAAATAGTGCAAGTATCTTCTTTGAATGGCTGGAGAAATAGCATTATATTGTAGTTGCTAAATAAGTATTAATCTATCTAAAATAATTCTAGCCAGTTTAATGGATTCCACACACTAAGAAGATCATTTTGGTTTAGCCAATTTAATGTTTATGCAATAAACTGAATATTCAATATCTGTTTACTTAAAATTATACTATTCAGTATTACAGTGACCAGGATTCCAATAAAAGTCCCAGCATGCATTTTATTGCACCTTAGTGATTAAATCATATGGGTAAACATTGTTATATCTGTTCATGTAAAACAGAGAAATTGTTGAACTGGATTCACTACCATGATAAAGTATGACATCAAGCAAATTCTAACATTTTTATTTCATTGGAGATCATATATTTGCTTCTTTAAAAATGCTATTTTGTTTGTCACGTATTTGCCATGAATAGCCAGTAGAAATATAATTGTCATGTCCATCAAATAAGATAACTTTTGAAAGCCCTTAGTATGATATTTCATACTTATTAGGTGCTTAATAAATGTTTATTGAATGGACGAGTGAATTAAGGAACGAAAGCATGAAAGGTACTGTCCTTTCTTTCCTTTTCTTTTGAATCCCAACATAGCCTTCTACTCACACACACACACGCAACTGTGAATCAACTATAAAGATGAATCAACTATAAAGTTATAATTGTTTATACAAAAAGTTGATAAATGTATTATGTGTTCTATTACATATTATATATTAAAAATTCCATATTTAGATGCATATGTTAATCTAAATACAGAGTAAACTTTGATTCTCAGATCTTAAATTTTATTTTAATGTAGGGACCACGAGGATTGCAAGGTGATGCTGGGCCTCCTGGAGAAATGGGTGCTGAGGTAACTTTTTTTGTGGCTCTTTTTTGTTATTTCATCAATATCCAGTACTTTTTGTAAGACTTCTCAAGGTAAAGTTGATACATTAGGTATATATTTAAAGAATAATTCTGTAGTGTTGTGTTTCATATTCAGAAAATAAAGCCTAAACTTCCATTAAAAGTAGGGATGACTGTTTTATGAATCTAATTTTATACACATAAAGTTCTCTTTTTTTAAGTTTTTACTTAAATTCCAGTTAGTTGACATACAGTATAATATTAGTCTCGGGTGTACAATTTAGTGATTCAACACTTACGTACAACACCCACTGCTCATCACAACAAATGCATTCCTGAATCCCCACCACCTATTTAACTCATTTCCTCACCCACCTCCCCTCTGGTAACCATCGGTTTGTTTTCTATAGTTAAAACTGTTTTTTGGTTTTCCTCTCTCTTTTTTTCTCCTGTGAACATTTGTTTTGTTTCTTAAATCACACATATGAGTGAAATCATATGACATTTGTCTTTCTCTGACTTATTTTGCTTAGCATAATACTCTCTAGTTCCATCCACATCATTGCAAATGGCAAGATTTCATTCTCTCGGGGCGCCTGGGTGGCTCAGTCGGTTAAGCATCTGCCTTTGGCTCAGGTCAGGCTCCCTGCTCGGCGGGAAGCCTGCTCCTCCCTCTCCCATTCCCCCTGCTTGTGTTCCTTCTCTCGCTGTGTCTCTCTCTGTCAAATAAATAAATAAAATCTTTAAAAAAAAAAAAAAAGATTTCATTCTTTTGGATGACTGAGTAGTATTCCACTGTATATATACACCACATCTTCTTTACCCATTCATCAGTTGATGGACATTTGGGCTCTTTTCATAATTTGACTATCGTTGATAATGCTGCTATAAACATTGGAGTGCATGTATCCCTTTGAATTAGTGTTTTTGTATTCTTTGGGTAAATACCTAGCAGTGCAATTGCTGGAAGGTTAGTTCTATTTTCAACTTTTTGAGGAAATTCCATACTGTTTTCCAGAGTGACTGTACCGGTTTGCATTCCCACCAACAGTGTATGAAGGTTCTTCTTTCTCTGTATCCTCACCAACATCTGTTGTTTCTTGTGTTATTAATTTGCTATTCTGACTGGTGTGAGGTGATATGTCATTGTAATTTTGATTTGCATTTCCCTGATAAGTGATGTTGAATATGTTTTCATGTGTCTGCAGGCCATCTGTATGTCTTGGAAAAATGTCTGTTCATGTCTTCTGCCCATTTTTTGACTGGATTATTTAGTTTTGGGGTGTTGAGTTTTATAAGTTCTTTATATATTTTGGATACTCACCCTTTATCAGGTAATGTCATTTGCAGATATCTTCTCTCATTCCTTAGGTTGCCTTTTAGTTTTCTTGATTGTTCCCTTTGCTCTGCAGAAGCTTTTTATTTTGATGAAGTCCCAAAAGTTCATTTTTGCTTTTGTTTCCCTTGCCGCAGTAGACATATTTGCATAGTTGCCACAGCCTATGTCAAGGAGGTTACTGCCTGTACACATGAAGTTCTCTTAACAGCCCACTTAAATGACAACAAAAAGTGAATAACACTTACCCTTCACTCATTTAGAGTTAACTTGATAACCCTTCACTCTAAGATGTTATATCTCCTTTATAGAAGAATATTAAGAAGTGACCCCTGGGCTGTCTGGGTGGTACAGTCAGTTATGTGTCCAACTCTTGGTTTCGGCTCAGGTCACGATCTCAGGGTCCTGGGATCAAGCCCCACATCAGGCTCCGTATTCAGCTAGGAGTCTGCTTAAGGATTGTCTCTCTCTGCTTCCCTCCACTCACACACTCTCTCTCAAATAAATAAACAGGTCTTTAAAAAAAAAGTGACCCCTATTTAGGATATATTTTGGAATAATAAACTATACTCATTATAATTATAAAATCCAATTACTTCATTTCTGTTGTTTGTTAACTTTAGCTGTAAATAAATTAGACATAAATTCCTCTCTTGGCTTTTGTGAAACTGCTCTCTTTTGATTCTACTCTTTACCTTCTCATTAGCCTTTCTCAGTCTTGATGTGAAGCTGTCCTTCTTTCTCAGCCTAGCAATCATATTATCACAATGACTTTAATTACCAATATTATTCTTAGAACTCTCATCTTGATGGCTCTAACTCATGCCTGTCTCTTCAGCTGCGGTTACTGATTCCCTGTTGTCTTTTACATATGCACCTAAATAGCCCACATACATCTTAAATTCAAAATATCTAAACCAAACCCATCACTTTCCCACTGTTCTTCCTCCTTTTATTCCCATCTCATTGAAAGATACTCCTTATGTCCAACAACCCAAAACTGAGTCTTCCTAGGCTCCTCTTCCTACTTTATTTTCTCCAGTCAGCCATCATTTCCCTCTGAATGAGCCCCCACAGCCCCCACAGTGTCTCAATTTTATCCTTTCCTTTTCATCCCTATTGCCAGTGCTCTAGTCCTCTGCTCTTATTGCATGTCTCCAGCAACTTCTATCATTCCTTAGCTAATTGTTGCCAGTTTCTCTGTGTCATATCATTCCTCTCCTTGGAATTTTTCTATAGCTCTCATGACCTTTAATAAAATGCCAACTTTTTAACATGATAAGTAATGTTCTACGTTATCTGACTTAAGGCAGACCTGTTCAGCCACATACCAATAAAGCTCTTCTCCTCCCCCTCATGCTCCAGGTTTGTTGACCTATTTTTAATTCCATGATTATGCCATGCTTTGTTGCTGTGCACTTTGTATCCACTGGTAATACAAGGATGGCTGATATATGGTCCCTGACTCCTTTAGGAGTTTATAATCTATTCCAGAAGATAGTCATATAAAAGATTATTACATTACAGTGTATTAGAACCAGTGATGGAGATATTCACAGGTCAGTATAGGAACATGGCAAAGAGCATTTAACTCCACCTGGATACAGGGAAGAAGATGACTTGTGGGGAATGTGTGGTGGTGATGAGATGAGTTTTAAGGAATGAGTAGGAGTTAGCCATATGAAAAGAGTAAATAAGGATAAGGAAATTCCAGAAAAAAGGAATAGTATGAGCAAGAACATACAAACATAAGGCAATATGGATTCTTTGAAAGTCAAAGCAAGGTGTGGTAATAGATGAAATTATGGAGAAATCATTAGATCATGAAAAGTTTTGTGTACTCTGTTAAGACGCTTAAATTTTTTATCTTATGGGCTGTATTAAGTCATTGTAAGATGTGATAAGCAGAGCAGTGATAAAGTCAGATTTATTTTTTTGGACGATAAGTTAATTCTATCAGCTGCACAGAGGACATATTTGAGAAGACAGGAGTGAGGCCATGAATACCTACTAAAGGATCGTTGCATTCAACCAGGCAAGAAATGATGGACTTCTGAACTGAAGTATAGGGATAGAAAGGGAGAGAAGTGGATGGATTTGAGAAATGTTTTTTATATAAATTCTGCAGAACCTTCATATTTGTAGAATATGGGAAGTAAAGGGGAAAGAGAAGTCAAAAATTATTCCCAGATTTCTAGGCTGTGCAACAGGATGGATGGCAATACCTTTCATGAGACCAAAGAGGAATATTAGGGAGATGGGGGTCATCGTCTGTTAATCTGCCCAAGGTAATGATTAAGAAAGTAGGAGAGCCTGGCTTTGAATCCACATCTGACTCAAAAATTGATGCTGATACCCTATACTATGCCACATCTTGTGAGCCTAAAGAAAGCTGAGAAAAGTCATACTGAACAACTAGAAGGGTTTTGTTTTTTTTTTTAACAGAATAGGAGGTAAAAATTATGTTGTGATAAGGAGTAGGGGTTGAGTAGGTCAGTCGAGGAAAATTTGCCGGTTTAGAATAGTGGTTGAAGATAATGGGAGAGGGAAATGACTATAGGCAAGTGAAAGAGCAGATATACCTTACTAAAAGTCAAGCTTTTCGTAGAAGACCATGAATTTGCATTATATTGATAATAATGATAACGAAAACCCACAATTATGAAGCACTTTCTATGTGCCTAGCAGTATTTATGTGCTTTGCTGTATTAATGGATTGTCACAACACCCTATGAGGTAGATACAGCTATTATTTTCATTTTACAGAGGAGGAAACAAAGACATAAAATGGTTAAGTAACTTGCTCAAGAGCAATAGCTAGGAGTCATGTGGTACAGCCTACATTTCAATTCAGGCAGTCTCTCTCCACAACCCATTGTCTTAGTCACTATGCCTCCCAACATGTAATGATGCCACTTTGCACAAGTGTGTAATTTTTTCCCAGCAGTATTCAACTGGAAATAGAAATGGAGATGACTTAAAGTGCTAATCCAAGATTGGTATAAGAAAAGAAACAGCACAGAGTTCAGATCTTTATTAGAGTTCATTTAAGAAAGGAATAAAAGAAGCCAAGAGGAGCTGACAGGTTGGGATAAATTAGGAACCAGAGGAGATCTGTGACATTGAAAGCAATTTTAATATGGAAGAAGTTCTAAGAGAGTTGGAATTCTCTCTCAACATAGAATATGAATCCTAAAGTAGGATATTAAATTCTGTCATTTCTGAGGCAGAGCAGAAACCCAGGCAGTCTCATTTCATAATTTTTCCTCTTAAGTACTGTACTGTACTGTCTCTTGTAACAGTAAAGAAGTCACAAAACTAACCCACAGAAGAATTTAAATAATGTAACTATTAAAAAATTATGAAATGATGGTAAAATGGAGGGAGAATAAGGAAACTAAACTTTTAGCAAGGTGATACATCGAGAAATAGAGGTATAATTTTTGAGTTATAGAAGTAACCACTAGGAAAACAAAAATTGTTTTATAAAGTAGTTGTCTCTGGGGCTTCTGGGTGGCTCAGTCGGTTAAGCGTCTGCCTTCAGCTCAGGTCATGATCCCAGGGTCCTGGGATCGAGCCCCACATCAGGCTCCCTGCTCAGCGGGGAGTCTGCTTCTCCCTCTGTCCCTTCCCCTGGCTTGTGTTCCCTCTCTCACTGTGTGTGTCTCTCTCTCAAATAAATAAAATCTTTAAAAAAATAAAAATAAAAAAAATAAAGTAGTTGCCTCTGAGGAATGGGACTGGGCTTTTCATTATAATTCCATCCGTACTGTTGTGCATGGATAGCTTTTATTTTAGAAAAAAAGCAAAGTGAATATGTATTGCAGAAGCTGAGTCAAAATGGAAAACTGAACTTCCTCTTATCTAAAATACTATGACATAAAAGATACTTTAAGCTCTAATAGTTATAAGAAAGAATATCACCCATGGATCAGAACTACTGAGGAATCACTGAAAGATAGAAGGGAAACAGGAAGCTTTTTGTCAAGAGTGTGCTGTGAGTTAATGCTTTAAGCTACCCCTCTACTCCAAAAACATGGGAATTACAGAATACATGTGTGTTTTTATAGTTATACATATACATGCATACAGTAAGTACACGCACACAGTGAAAGAGAGAGAAGAGAAGAGGAAGGGGGAATGAGGAAGGGAAGGGGGAGGGGTACACTTAGTGTGCTCAAAAACAAGATCAATATCTCTGAAACAAACAAACAAACAATACAACAGTAGTTGTAGGAGCTCCAGGCCTAGAGATAGCCAGAGGTTGCAAGAAGTTGTATGTTTTCAAGGTAAAAGGAGCCAAATTCTCCCCAACTGGACCCGCCCACAAAAGGAAAGTGGAAAAGCTGCCATATACATCTTTTAAAATGTGAATAAATTCATATCATCTTTGTGTGATTTTTTTTTATGAAATGAATAAAGAAAACTGAAATTTTTAAAGGAAGTGTGCTCCAGAGGGCTCAACAGAAACGGATGGGAAGAGTGAAAAGTAAAAAACACTGAGAATAGTAAGAATATGTGGGTAGGAAATTAGAAGAGGAAATGGCAGGTGGTTTGTCCTTGACCAAGGATTAAAGGATGACAGGAAGAATAGAAGAAATTGGTCTTAAAAGTCCTGACTTCAGGTGATGTTATTTTGGCATTTGAACTGTTAAAAGATCCCAGAATTATCTGGTCTTATGCCATCAAGTTTATAAAGTGGAAGCAGAAATATTTTCCTAGACATACATCTCACCCTTGGGCTACAAATTACTATGATCTTCTTATGAGGTTGTTATTGCCTTTGCAATTGGTAAAGAAATACATACAGATGATGTGTCAAATCATTCTCTTCTAGGGACCTTCAGGTATTGAGGGAGACTCTGGTCTGCAAGGTGAACCAGGTGCAAAGGTAATCTTCCTAAATAGTAAAAGGGTCTCTAAACTTTTACCACTGAATCCCCTGTTTGCCATGTTTTGGCAAATACCCATCATCTTGAAAGCAAGTGCAGAAGAGCAGATAAAAATGGGAAGTGTTTTCAAATGAGTCAGAAAAAAATATTATCTATCATCTATCTATCTATCTACTGAGTCTGTGTGTGTGTGTGTGTGTGAGAGAGAGAGAGAGAGAAGAAATACAAATGATAAAGCTAATGGGGCAATATATTACAATAAATCTGGGGAAAAGAAAAAAAATGGGAAGTGTTTTGAAAGTCCTATCCTCATAATACACTTTCCATAATTATTAGATATACTGTTTTAGTAGAAAAAAGTTTTAATCTTTCCCTTTGTTTCTTCAGGGAAATGTTGGACCTGCAGGCAATGTTGGAGTTGCTGGAGAACCAGGGTTACGGGTAAATGTCTACTGGGAACCTTTGTAATGCACTGGCCTGAGTGGTTCAGAGACTCAAAACTTGGCATAAATAAAGCTTCAGAAAATGCATAACGGTTAAACCTTTCTGGTGCATAATAGAAAAACGTTTGTCTTTATTTCTTAGTTTTAAAAGCTGCATGCCAGACCCTTTTCACATTGTCATTTAGTAGCATTTGGAGTTCTAACCTCATACATCCTTTTCTCAGTATGGAGCATACTCTCTAGAATGCTTTACACATAACGCAGAGTAGCTGTGATTGTCACTCATGTTTGCATTAAGAAGAAATTCACAGGGCGCCTGGGTGGCTCAGTTGGTTGAGTGACTGCCTTCGGCTCAGGTCATGATCCTGGAGTCCCGGGATCGAGTCCCACATCGGGCTCCCTGCTTAGCAGGGAGTCTGCTTCTCCCTCTGACCCTCCCCTTCTCATGTGCTCTCCCTCTCTCTCACTCTCTCTCTCAAATAAATAAATAAAATCTTAAAAAAAAAATTAAAAAAAAAAAGAAATTCACAAATAACAGTCATCAACTCTCAGGATGTTTCCTGACCTAACAAGGCAAGCAAATGATTAAAACCTAATTTATGTTTGAAAAACAACAAAAATCTAAAGTCACAAAGTTAACAAGATTCAAGGAAATAATCATAAATAAGTATAATTAGAGAGCTTACAGAAGTTATTCTAATATAGACAGCCTGTAATTTGAGCTGTGGTAAGCTTTTTCCCAAGAAACAATGCCCAAGGTAATCCCGAGATACATTTGCATACTAAAAGGCAAAGTAGGGAGACATGTTTTACATCCAGTTTCTTTTTCATTTTCCCTTTATTTGCACGGGGGTGGGCAGTCTGAGGTTGGGGTGATGGAAGTGTCAATGGTGGGAGCAAAGGAGCAACTGTGAAGATGCACTAAATAACTCACTTGTAAATATTTTAGGTAACAAGAGAGCCAATATTACTTTAATATCTTCATAGACTATGGCTATACTTTTCTGTTAAGTTCTATATCTGGAAGACAGCTTCTTGATGTACCAGGGCCTTAATTGTTGCCTCTCGCTTGTAAGTGAGAAAATACAGACCCTAAAAATCTAGCTTTAACTGAATTAAGTCATATTAATCCATTTAAGGTACTACAATTTTAGGAGAGATAGTATTTATAGTCCTTGAACTCAGGAAACGCAGGTCTAGCTATATAAATTTTCAGAGCTACCAAATGAATGTATATTTCCCTTAATAATCTAAAGTTAAAATTCTGGGCCTATCTTATATTTGAATTTATAATACTGATTCTTTAAATCATCTTCAGAGCTATTCCAAGCAAATTATATCAAGCTTATTATACTGCCAAATATTCCTTATAAATAAATTAGAAGTAGGAATAAATGTACACAAACCTGCTACTTTCTATAGATACCAGGAGCAAAAAATAAGTTAAGGTGAGCAGTTTAGCAAAATAATTAATCTTACTGTTTTTGCTACAAAATAGGGTGAACCAGGAGCTCCTGGAGAAGAAGGTCTCCAAGGAAAAGATGGATTAAAGGTAAATTATACTTTTCTCATTACATATAAAAGTAGATATTTTTTGTGAAATCTTTCAAATATTACATAATTACATGATTACTTTTATATCCCAAACAAAAATCTGCTTATTGTGTGGTATACTTATTTTACTGCTTTCCCTTTCTTAAAAATTTTTACTGGGTTACAGGGGAACCCTGGAGGAAGGGGTCTTCCCGGAGAGGATGGAGAAAAAGGAGAGACAGGCTTACCAGGGGCTTCAGGGCCCTTGGGTAGACCAGGTCTAATGGGCCCTCCGGTAAGTACTGCTGAGCTCATTTTTGAGTACTCTGTGAACTCAGTCCTCTACATGTACACACACACACACACACACACACACACACACACACACACATTCTGATTCTCTCAGATGTTCTTTGGATAACTGAAAGTGTGGAACTGTGGCTTGAGAGAGGGCCAAACCAGGGACTGATAATCAGCCTAGCTAACATCCAAGGAAGAAAGATACTTTTTCCATGTGTCACACAAGTCCTTGAAGTTTTTTTTCTTCCCACTTTGAGATATAATTGACAAGTAACATTGTGTAAATTTAAGGTGTGTAATGTGATGATTTTATACACACACACACACACACACACACATATGATTACCAAATAGGGTTAGTTAACACATCCATTGCTTTACTTAATTACCTTTTTGTGGTGTGGTGAAATTTTTTAAGATTTACCCTCTTAGCAACTTTCAAATACACAACACAGTATTGTTAAATATAGTCACCACATTGTACATTATGTCTCTATGAGTTACTTATTTTATAACTGGAAGTTTGTATCCATTCACCATTTCCCCCATCTCTCCACTGCTGGCAACAACCATCAGTCTATTCTTTGTTCCTATGATTTCAAATTTTTAGATAACACACATATGTGAGATCATACAGAATTTTTTTTCCTCTGTCTGACTTATTTCGCATAACATAATGACTTCCAGGTCCATCCATATTGTTGCAAATGTCAGAATTTCCTTCTTTTTGTGACTGAACAGTATTCCATTGTATATATAAACCATATATATATACCATTCTCTTTTCAAATATAAGTTGACCATATATGCATGCATTTTTTTCTGGGCTCTCAGTTCTTTTCCACTAGTCTATATGTCTTTTTTAATGCCAGTACCACACTGTTTTAATTAGTATAGCCTTGTATTAATACAGTTTGGAATTAAGAGGTGTGATACCTCCAGCTTTAATTTTTTACAATTGTTTTGGTTATTTGGGGTATTTTCTGGTTTCATGTGAATTTTAGGATTTTTTCTATTCCTGTAAAACATGCCATTGGAATCTTGATAGGAATTACATTGAATCTGTAGATGGTTTGGGATAATATGGACATGTTAACAATATTAATTATTCCTACCTATGAATATGAGATAGCTCTCCATTTATGTGTCTTCAATTTCTTTCATCAATGTCTCACAATTTTCAGTGTATAGATATTTCATCTCCTTTGTTATATTTATCCCTAAATATTTTATTGTTTTTGATGCTATTGTAAATGGAAATGTTTTCTTTCTTTCTTTTTCAGATAATTCATTGTTAGTGTATGGAAACATGACTGGGTTTTCTAGGTGATTTTTGTATCCTGCAATTTTACTGAAATCATTTATTAATTTTAGCAGGTTTTTTTGTGTGGAGTATTTAGGGTTTTCTATATATGAAGATAATGCCATCTTCAGAGACAGTGATACTTCTTCCTTTCTCATTTTGGTGCCTTTTATTTCTTTTTCTTGCATAAATGCTCTTGGTAGGATTTCCAGTACTATATTGAATAGAAGTGGTGAGAGTAGGCACCTTGGTCTCTTGTTCCTGATTTTAGAGGAAAACCTTTCAACTTTTCACTGTTAAATATGATGATAGCTGTAGGTTTGTCATATATGGCCTTTATTATGTTGAGGTATGTTCCCTCTATACCTGCTTTATTGAGAGTTTTTATCATGAAAAGTTATTGAAATTTGTCAAATACTCTTTCTGCTTCTATTGAGATGATCAGATGGTTTTATCTTTAATTCTGTGAATGGGGTATATCATATGGATTGATTTACAGGTGAACCATCCTTGCATCCCAGGAATAAATCCCACTTGAACACGGTGTATGATCCTTTTGATGGGATGTTGAATTTAGTTTGCTAGTATTTTGTTGAGAATTTTTGCATCCATATTCATCAGGGCTTTGGTCTGTAGTTTTCTTATAATATCCTTATCTGGCTTTTGTATTAGGGTAATACTGACCTGAGCTTGGGTATATTTCTCCTCTTCAAAATTTTGGATGAGTTTGAGAAATATTACCATTAATTCTTCTTTAAGTGTTTGGTGGAATTCATCAGCAAATGCTAGACTTTTCTTTGTTGAGAGGTTTTTCATTAATTATTCAATCTCATTCATTATTGGTCTGTTCAGATTTTCTATTTCTGCATGATTCAGTCTTGGTAAGTAGTATGCTTCTAGGAATAGATATAGTCTAAGTTGTCCAATTTGTTGACAAATATTGGTAGTCTTTTATGATCCTTTGTTTTTCTGTGTTATAATTTATGTCTTGTCTTTCATTTCTAACTGTGTTTGAGGCCTTTCTGTCTTGGTGTTTGTCAGGTTTGTCATTTAAAAAACCAACTATTTTGTTAACCTCTTCTCTAATTTTTCTGTTTTCTTTTTATTTACTTTTGCTCTAATCTTCATCATTTCTTTTCTTCTGCTAACTTTGGCTTTAGTTTGTTCTTTTTCTACTTCTTTGAAGTATAAAGTTAGGTTATTTATTTGTGATCTTTCTCCTTTTTTAAAGTAGGCACTTATCACTGTAAACTCCCCTCTTAGAACTGCTTTTACTGCATTCCATAAATTTTTGCTATATTGTGGTTCCAATTTTGTTTGAAGATTTTTTGTTTTAATTTTTGTTTCAAGTTATTATTTAAATTCTGGTTAGTTAACATACTGTTGGTTTCAGGAGCAGAATTTAGTGATTCATCACTTACGTACAACACCCAGTGCTTGTCATAAGTGCCCTCCTTAATCCCCATCACTAATTTAGCCCATTCCCTGCCCACCTCCCCTCCATCAACTCTGTTTGTTCTCTGTAGTTAAGAGTTTCTTAAGGCTTGCCTCCCTCTCTTTTTTTCCCCTCTTCCCCTATGTTCATCTGTTTTGTTTCTTAAATTTCACATATGAGTGACATCATATGGTATTTGTCTTTCTCTGACTGACTTATTTCATTTAGCATAATACTCTCTAGCTCCATCCATGTAATTGCAAATGGCAAGATTTCATTCTTTTTGGTGGCTGAGTAATATTCCATTATATATATGTGTTCCTTTATATACATATATACACACATATATATATTCCTTTATATACATATATACATATATATTCCATTATATATATATATATATACACACACATAGGGATGCATGTGTCCCTTCAAGTCAGTATTTTTGTATTCTTTGGGTAAATACCTAGTAATGTAATTGCTGGGTCTAAGGGTACTTCTATTTTTAACTTTTTGGGGAACCTCCATACTGTTTTCCAGAGTGGCTGCACCAGCTTACATTCCCACCAACAGTGTAAGAGGGTTCCCCTTTCTACACATTCTTGGCAACACCTGTTATTTCTTGTGTTGTTAATTTTAGCCATTCTGACAGGTGTGAGGTGATACGTCATTGTAGTTTTGATTTGTATTTCCCTGATGATGAGTGATGTTGAGCATGTTTTCATGTATCCGTTGGCCATCTTTATGTCTTTGAAAAAATGTCTATTCATGTCTTCTGCCCAATAACCCTTTATCAGATATGTCATTTGCAAATACCTTCTCCCATTCCTTAGGTTGTTGTTTAGTTTTGTTGATTGTTTCTTTCACTGTGCAGAAATTTTTTATTTTGATGAAGTCCCAATAATTCATGTTTGCTTTTGTTTCCCTTGCCTCTGGTGACGTGTCTAGTAAGAAGTTGCTACAGCCAATGTCAAAGAGGTACTGCTGTGTTCTCCTCTAGGATTTTGATGGTTTCCTGTCTCACATTTAGGTCTTTCATCCATTTTGAATTTATTTTTGTGTGTGATGTAAGGAAGTGGTCCAGTTTCATTCTTCTGCATGTGGCTATCCAGTTTTCTCAACACCATTTGTTGAAGAAACTCTCTTTTTCCCATTGGATATTCTTTCCTGCTTTGTTGAAGATTAGTTGACCATGTAGTTGTGGGTCCATTTCTGGGTTTTCTATTCTGTTCCATTCATCTATGTATCTGTTTTTGTGCCAGTACCATACTGTCTTGATAACTACAGCTTTGTAATACAGCTTGAAGTCCAGAATTGCTTTTCTTTTCTTTTTCAAGATTGCTTTGGCTATTTGGGGTGTCTTGTGGTTCCATACAAATTTTAGGATTGTTTGTTTTAGCTCTGTAAAAATGCTGGTGGTATTTTGATGGGATTGCATTAAATGTGGAGATCCCTTTGGGTGGTATAGACATTTTAACAATATTTGTTCTTTCAATCCATGAACATGGAATGTTTTCCATTTCTTTGTGTCCTCTTCAGTTTCTTTTGTAAGTATTCTATAGTTTTCAGAGTACACATCTTTTACACCTTTGGTTAGGTTTATTCCTAGGTATCTTATGGGTTTTGGTGCAATTGTAAATTGGATCAATTCCTTGATCTCTCTTTCTGCTGCTTCATATTTGGTGTATAGAAATGCAACAGATTTCTGTACATTGATTTTGTAACATGCGACTTTGCTGAAATCATGTATCGGTTCTAGCATTTTTTGTGGAGTCTTTCAGGTTTTCTACATAGAGTATCATGTCATCTGCAAATAGTGAAAGTTTGACTTCTTCCTAGCCAGTGTGGATGCCTTTTATTTCTTTTGTTGTCTGCTTGCTGAGGCTAGGACTTCCAGTACTATGTTAAATAACAGTGGTAAGAGTGAACATCCCTGTCTTGTTCCTGACCTTAAAGGAAAATCTCTCAGTATTTTCCCCATTGAGGATGATACTAGTTGTGGGTCTTTCATATATGGTCTTTATGGTGTTGAGGTATGTTCCCTCTATCCCTTCTTTGTTGAGGGTTTTTATCAAGAATAGATGCTGTATGTTGTCAAATGCTTTTTCTGCATCTATTGAGAAGATCATATGGTTCTTATCCTTTTTTTTAAATTAATGTGGTGTATCATGGTGATTGATTTGTGAATATTGAACCACCCTTGCGGCCCAGGAATAAATCCCACTTGATTGTGGTAAACAATTCTTTTAATGTACTG